CCCACCTTGTATTTATTTTCTTGTTAATTCTAGTGGAAACTAATTGAAATCTGAGTCTTTGTTGTTTGAGTATCAATAATGTTATAGAGGCTTGTATAATAAGCACATAAAATAAACTAGTGATTAATTAAATTTTGATTACACATAATGATTGTATGAAAACAGTTTTAATTACTTTTATGTCCATTGTCACAGGTTCTATAACCATAAAATTATTATTAAATAGAAGAACTCACTTTCTATGTTCTGAATGCATGCTATCATTGCAGAATTTAAAATATATTGCAGGATTGGCAATATTTTTTTAACAATGGTACAAACTATTTTGAGCTTTTGAGACTATTTTAAATTAACTGACATATTGGTCTCCTCTGATATTGAATCTGACAACATGAACCCCATTGTGTTTCCAGATCCCTTATCAATTTGAGCTAGCAGGCTAACCCTGTAACAGATGCTGAGTCTGAACCAAAACACATTCTAAAAAACTGGAGATTTGGACTTATTCCTATTGAGTTGGCAAGAGTGAAATGCAATAGAATTCAGTACTTCTGACAAGCCCTAAATGGAGGCATCCAGAAGGTTACTATCATTATTATCCAGGCTTTCACCCAGAATTCAGACTCACAAATCACTGTCATGCTGTCTGCTAAATTCAGCCTTGATTCTGGCTCCACATTAGTTCATTCCTTTAGTATATTTATATAGTAGGAGAGTTAGCAGAAGAGAATACTTTTGTATTTTGGTGTATTCAAGGGCCCAATTTCTGAGTCACATATCCAGAAAGAGAGGAAGGCTAAGACTTTTAGGATTAAATTTTAAATACAAATATTTAAAAATAATTTTTTAAGAGCAGCAGGTGAAGACAGCATTTTTGCCTGAAAGGGTAAAAACATTCTCAATGCCACAAAGTTGTTCTAAGGATTTGACAACCTTTATTGTTAGCCATCAACCAGTTTCATAGATAACCAGTATTTAAGAGGGAATGCGACTGATTGGACTGTGTCCCCCCCCCCAAATTTCATGTTGAAGCCCTGACCCCCAAGGTGACAGTGACTGGAGATGGGGCCTTTGGGAGGTGATTAGGTCCAGAAGGCAGAGTCCTCATGCAGGGATTAGTGCTCTTACAACAGCAGACGAGTGACTTTGCTCTCTCTCTATGCCATGTAAGGACACAGCAAGAACATGGTCATCTGCAAACAGACATCCAATCTGCCAGCACTTTGATCTTGAACTTCCCAGTCTCCACGACTGTGAGAAATACATGTCCTGGTTAAGCCACTGGGTCTATGGTATTTTGTTATAGCAGCCTGAGCTGACTAAAATAGGGAGGTATTAATTTTACTGTTAATTTTCAAATCAGAATAGGCATATTCAAGTAGCAAATTTGAATAAACAATATATGGAAAAATAAATCATGCCTCTTTAAATATTTAACTAACATGTTGGCAATGAGACTTTACAGTGATACCACTATTGAGGGGTATGCAATAAAACCAGTATTAAGTGAATATTATATATTCATGCAAATATGAATATGTGTTTTTAAATATCTAACAAAATTTTTTGAATTTTATGTTCAAATAGACTTGTCTCCCAGAGCATGGAGAGCAAATTCAGGTCTAATATCTGGACTAGGTGACTATTTAACTGTTGGTAATATTTTGGTATAGTTCTTCCTAGATATATGCCTATTAATATACTTTTTTCTATAATTATGTATAAATATTTTAAAAAAATTTAAGAGAGAGTTTATTTTCAAAGATACAGAGGTAGTAGAAGTGAGCCAACTGGGCTGCATAGGCTCAGGAAAAAAGTTACAGAAGCAAAAGAAGGTCCCTTGGCGCTTAAGAGAAGGAATGGCGAAGGGGAAGCCCCTGGGGGTAGGAGAAGGGGACAGGAAAAGCTCCCGTGTGCAACCTAAGAAAAAAATATTTTTTAGTGGTGAAATCAATGCTTCCATTTTTGTAAATAGTCTTTCATTCAATAATACGTATGGGTTCTAATTGCTAATATACCTAAAACATCTGCCTCTTAATTCATTGCATAAGTGGGTGAAAGTTTATTCAATCAATCTGCTATGACTGAACATTTAGTGAACCATTTTAAACACTGCTTAGAATTTTGTAGTTGAATCCCATCTACAAGAGGAAAAACCAATGAATGTCCTCAGCACTGTTCACCTGACTCTGATACTCCAACCATCTCCTATATTTAACAGTTTCATTTCTCATCATTCTAGAATTAAATCATTTACAGACGCAGATAAAGTTGCCGTAAAGCATGCCTTTGGGAGATCACTTGAATCTGTTAACAGGGATAATTTTAATGCTAACTGATGTGTTACTTGCTTCAAAGAGGAGGTTCAAGGTCACTGACTCATCCATTCGTGCCTGTAAGGCGAACCTATGCTAAGTACTGAAGCATGGCAGGCGGTCAAGTTCAGCACATCCCTGGAACATTCATTCTCATGTAAGATGAGCCGTTGTTCTGCTTGATTAATTTGGTTTAAGCAAGGGAATGTTAAAATTCAAATAGCCCTGAAAAAATTACACACGACAGTCTCATCTACTGGGAAAGAAAACAACCAGGTGAGGGAGAACACAGGACTGTGGGTGGATAGAAGCAGGGGGCCTTACCCTGGTGACATGCTGCAGGCTCCTGTGCATAGCAGGCAGCCAGGAGGTAGCTGAAAACCGGGCGGGCCTACAGGTCACAGACCAACCAGGAGCAGAAACACACAGCGGACGAAGGGCAGCAGGAGTAGACATCAGCTCTAGTGTTTCCTCAGCGGTACTAACCTGTACGTACGGCAGCTGTGTACTAGTCTAGCATTTAATATTTAAATCAAGTAGGGCTCTATATAAGTGTGTCAATATTTAAGAGGTTTACTATTTAAGTGAATATTATAAACCTTTAACTTATATTTACACAAATGACTTTAGAACAATTATTTCTAGTGTGGCATTAAAGCATTCTCTTAAGAGTAGATAACACATCTACCCCTCAAAAGCATGTGTACCTTTCACAAAGATCAAAGAATATAACTTCCCCAGGAAATGGTGAATTTGAGAGGATGTCCCATCCTTCAGCTGGGGGGGGGGGACTGCAAGGCTGTTCAGGAGTCAATCATTAGGCTACTGGTGCCCCTGGGGAGAGGGACACGGTTCAGCTGCAGTGAAAATACCTATGACCTGAAAGTCCATGCCACCAATATAGTCACAAGAAATAAGCTCAGAACCTGGCAGCCTACCCGTGTCCTGGGGTTGTGAGGCTCGGATGAGACAGAACATGCTCTGATGGTGGTGAGTGTTCGCTGAAAGGTAGACTCATTGTTCATAATCAATACAGCCCCAGGCAGGCTGCTGAATGAGCAAGCATCTCCTAAAATCATACAGTTTCTTAACAGCAACCTTCATCCGCAATGGTGTCGTCAACTTGTTCTTTTTTTAGAGGTAGAAAGAATGGAAGCCAAAGAGAATCAATGCCTTAACCATCATAAATATAAAAAGCAAGGCTGGTACTTTTTACTCCAGTGAGTGCCTTTCCCATTTACCCTGATCAATTTCTCTAACTCTGCAACTGGCTTTTACCTTCGACATACTCGGAGGTGGGGTGTGTGTGTGTGTGTGTGTGTGTGTGTGTGTGTGTGTGTTTCTATTGTTTTCTCACATTTGTAATGTATCTTTTTATCTTGGACATCCCTGATCATCTTGAATACAAAGAAAATTTTTGGTTTATATTTATATTTTGTTGAAACAAGTGTAAATTAATCTTAAATCTTTCAGCTAAATCTCTCACGATGCTTTTACTCAGAGTCAAAGCAATAAATCATATAAGGGAAAAGGCACATTAACACATGTTGGCTTCTCTGCATTTTTAATTGAAACCTAGTTTTAAAAATATTTATCTTCGAAGTATAAGAATAAAAATGCACAAACACCAATAATTGCCAAATTATTCATAAAAATTTATTAAAGTATTTTAAAAAGCTCTTTTCAGTGAAGTTAATAGAAAAAGGCTTAAGTGCTTTGCAATTCAAGTGGACAATTATTTTCAATAGAAAGCTCATATCCTACTTGTCACAATAAAAGCTGAAAAATAAAAAGCAAATGTGTCTTTCACTGTGACACATTTGCTTTTTTATTTCATTATATTACACAATGATATAAAATATGCACACCAGAATTTACTTCAAGGCATGATTCTATTTAATTCTAAATCAAATCAACATTCCTCTGTCTAGATAAAGACAATGCAATTCTGCATTTAAAGATAATTTCCTGCTCTTCATTAACAGCATCTTCTTAATTTTTAACTATTTAAATTTACCATGAAACCTTGTCTTTAATTCTATCATCTGTACTAAAACTAGAGTACAGCAATAGAAGCTTAGGATATAATAATAAAAATGAGTGCAGGCATTCATGTATTCCTTTATGGATATTACATATGTGTATATTTACATTATATTGTATACAGGGCATCCCAAAAATGTATACACACTTTAACAGCTGATAGCTCAATTTTGAAAGTGAAATGTATTTTAATAAACACTGTCTTTATTATTCAAAGTATATGTATACATTTTTGGGACACCCTATATAATCTATATGTATGATATATCTTTCCCTAATGACAGAAGACACCAGCTATAAATTAGAATGTACAGAAAGAAGCCTTAATTATATTGTTCAGCAAAACCTTTTTTTCTTTATTCAGCACTTTATACTTACATAAAAATATAAGCTGGGAAAAACAAAGTAGCTTTTTACTCCACTTAATAACAGAGTTTTAGTCTTTATCAGGGAAAAGGGGGGTAAGCTGTAATATTCACAAACAGAAACAGCATTTTCGGATGACATATCTATGCATCTAGAATAAGCTCACAAAGAAAAACAATAAATATTGCTCACAATGAGTCATAGTTGCACCACCACTTATTTTTGTAGAACTACTTCAAAATATCTCATCATTTAAAAAAAAAAAAGCTTTGTCACCTTCTCTATAATTTCATCTAACTCCTTTACAAACTTGGGTCCCAGGGCAGCCTTTATTTCTTCTGGAAAATCTTCCCAGAGCCCCTTTATGTATTGGAAACCCTCCCCTTCGTGTTCCCACAGCACCTCGAGCTCCATCGCAGCACTTACGCTGGGGCCTAACTGCCTGCTTATCTGTCCTCTCCTGTGGACTGTACATTCCATGTATATATTCCTAGTATTTTACATGTATTTTTAGCTTTTCATAAAATAGTAAATATTTGGTGAATTAAAAATAAGATAAACATATTTGCAAGAGAACAGATCTGATTTTACTCCATACTATTTCCAGGATACATTTCTGACCAGCCTGAAGTAACTCAAATGAGCCGCTGTAAACACATCAGCAGGTGACATCCAACCTAGTTACCTGTCCCTTGTTTGGACTTTCTCATGTGTCAGATGGAATGCAGGAAGCTCTGGGTGCAGAGTGACAGACTAGAGGAGACCAGACCTGGGAGGGGTCAGCGAGAGGGCGGTGGAGTTTGGAGACGAATGAGGATTGATTTCTGCAGGGATTGAAAATCGTGGTGGGGCTGGTGTCTGGAGGACTGAGGAATGGGAAGGACTGGTAACTCTGATGTACCCCTGATGTTAAAAGGACATCGTCTGGGATTTTAAGGGACAAATGCCATGAGGAGTGAGAGGAGAACTGTCTGGAGGAGGCAGGTGTGTGATAGGTAGGCTTTGCAACATTGCGCTCTGTCCTAGGCACCCATTCCATTTTCCTGCCGCAAGCGCCCACTTTTCCATCAAGCCAATCAACTGAGGTGGGTGCATTTTGATTGAGGGAGAGAGAGGAGGGTTATGATGTTTCTGGTGTGTCTCCCTCCCCCCCTGCAGAAGAATCACTGTGCAGAGTCACGGGTCCGAGTCACCTGTGTCTGTTACGAACTGTAATTTTGAGTAGTTACTTTACTCCCAGTCTGTGTCTCCTTATTTATAAAATGGGGATAATAACATTACCTATTGTGAAGTGTTATAGGAAAGATTAATTGAGATCCTCAAGAAAAATGAAGATAAGCTTTTGATAGACAATAAAGGATCTTGGCTAGATTTGTTATTATTTCCATTTTCCCTTCCATTATCCCAGGGGTCCTCAAAATATTGTATTTGTTCCCGTTTTGTTTTTTTTACTTCAAAATAAGATATGTGCAATGTGCATAGGAATTTGTTCATAGTTTTTTTTTTAAACTATAGTCCAGCCCTCCAATGGTCTGAGGGACAGTGAACTGGCCCCCTGTTTAAAAAGTTTGAGGACCCCTGCATTATCCTATCAGCATCTCTCTTGTCCTGCTATCATTCATTTGCTAAATTAGACTCTGAACCCACCAGTGTCAGGAATCTGGGAAAGATGGACAAAAGGGCAAAGGGGGAGCTGGAAGCATTCCAGACATTTGCTGCTCTTCTGTGAGCTGCGATGTCAGGGATCAGGAGGTGAGCAGGCTCCCAAGCAGCAGTGGCAGCAAATGGCAGGAAAGGGGGTTCCAGACCCACAATCTGTTTGTCCAAGTCTTCGACGTGGACCAGGGCATTTCCTCAATCCTATGTAAAAGGCTTTGCTTCTGCAGCTGCCGACACTCCATAGGCCTCCCTCTCAGACTCCACTCTCAAACTCCAACAGAAATTCTGGACGTGGCACTGCTAAGAGCTATCAAAAGAAGAAATATCAAGAAGAAGACTTTCCACAGCAACAGGCTGGAGTGAGGGGCATCAATGACTCTAGGACAGTTCAGGGGATTCTGAAGGGCATTTCTAATCAACCACAGCCCTGTGGACTGGAATCTTCTAAAGCTGTATATTATGCAAACCCCCTTTCTGTTCTTTTTTTAAAAAATATATTTTTTATTGATTTTTTACAGAGAAGAGGGAGAGGGATAGAGAGTTAGAAGCATCGATGAGAGAGAAGCATCGATCAGCTGCCTCCTGCACATCCCCCACTGGGGGTGTGCCCGCAACCAAGGTACATGCCGTTGACCGGAATCAAACCTGGGAACCTTCAGTCCCCAGGCCGACGCTCTATCCAGTGAGCCAAACCAGCCAGGCATCCCCTTTCTGTTCTTACACAAACGAAACTTTAAACATTATTGGTGTCTGCACACTGTCCCAAAGCTAAGGCACAGCCATCTAGAGGCTACTAGCTATACCTATTTGCTGAAACAGTGTTAGATAACTGATCTAACTTAAAATATAAAATATGGCAGAAATTCCCGGTTGCCTATTCAATCCCCCTTCACCCTTTCTTCCTTAAAGAAACATTATTTTGATAGTGTCAAAAATGTTTCTAGTTAGAAATTACGTTTGCTATGCTCCCTCATAGGTATGAGTAGACAACACAATACTACCAGAAGCTATGAACCAGGGCTTCCAGGATAGATCGTGAAGAAGGGCAGGGGGGTGACTTGAAGGGGGGGGTCACTATTTGCCCTTCCTCTTCTTCCTTATAAAAGGAGGACATGAAGGTGAGTGCTCCAGAAGTTACATGGTGACTATAATGCCACCTTCATAATGGAAGCCCAGGGCGAAGGTTGGTGGAGCAGAGAGAACTGGCCCGGGGCCCTGGACGTGGAGCTGCGTGGGTTCTCTGGACTGGACATGTCATTCTGGGTCAGCAGTAACAAGGGCTGAATCTGTCCTGATTGAGGCAGAACTTACACTTTTATAATGTTTTTTTTTTTTGGTTTGTTTGTTTTGTTTTGTTTTAAAGAAAGAGATTAGAAAATGTACACAGCCAAGGTGAATATCAAGGTTTGGTCCAGAAGTGAGTCTTGATTCAGTGCCTGAGCTCAGGTGAGTGTGACCCAGAAATCATTAGGGGAAGAACTGTTCTGCAGGTCTGAGCACCTTCCGTATATAGGGCACAGGTGGCAACTTGGCACCTAGAGGCCTGGCCTTTTGAGTCATGGCCAAAACTCAATTTGGGTAAACTCATTACCCATACATCTGCCCTAATTTCCTGCGAGACTTCGCTCAGATATGTAGTCTTCTGCTTAGCTTCCTTATGTTATCACTTATTACATTTACTAATGGAAAAATAAAGCTGTTCTAGGAAAATATCCAAAAGCAATTGATTGGTTTGCCCTTCAATGTAGGCTGTAAAAGAATTAGTTTACTTCACATAAGTGATGACTGTGTGCTATGTGAATATCTCCCACCCACACATTATTCCAGTTCCTTTTCCTCCGGCGTATTTTGTTCAGTGTTAAACACTGAATAAAAACCACATTCATTTCCTCTTCTTATCTCTTTCCCAGTTTTCTGATTTTTCTTTTTTTTGAGGGGGGGGATGCATAATTAAAAATCTTGGGACATTACTAAGAAAGATGGTGAAAGTATATAAAACAATAACAAAGTGAAATCACGTGTCTTATTAAAAATTATGATGAAACTCAGAAGCAGGACAAACAGAGCTGTTCTTTGAGTGCTATTAAAAGGTTCACAGTGTGGAATCTCAGAGGGAAGGCGGGAGTGGGAGGGAAGAGATCATCCAAAGAACTTGTGTGCATGTATGCATAACCCATGGACATAGACAATAGGGTGGTGGAGGCCTTGAGTGGAGTGTGGGGGGGCAAGCTATAAAGGGTCAATGGGAAAAAAGGGACATGTAATACTTATCACAATAAAGATTTAAAAAAAGAAAGAAAAATGTTTTCCACTTGTTTGAATCATTACAAATAATTTCTGCTTTTTAAATTCCCCAAATTTGTGTAATAGTTTCTTAAAATCTTTAATGTGTAATTTAATGATATTTTTTAAATATATTTTTATTGATTTTTTACAGAGAGGAAGGGAGAGGGATAGAGAGTTAGAAACATCAATGAGAGAGAAAAATCGACCAGCTGCCTCCTGCACACTCCCTACTGGGGATGTTCCTGCAACCAAGATACATGCCCTTGACTGGAATCAAACCTGGGACCTTTCAGTCCGCAGGCCAACGCTCCATCCACTGAGCCAAACTGGTTAGGGCAATGTGTAATTTAAGTGAAATATTTTGGAAGTGTTGTAAAGGTATATCTTACGGAATAATAGACAAACATGTAAATTAACCGCCCCTCCACTATGCTCACCCACCAGCCAATCAGGAGAATATGCAAATTAACCCAAAAAAGATGGCGGTTAATTTGCATACGTAGGGGAGAAGCAGTGGAGCGAAGACTGAAGCGTCCGGCCGGAGCAAAGGCCTGGGTCCCAGGTGCCGGAGGAAAACCGGTGCCGGCAGCCAGGGGAAGGGAAGGCCTATTGCACAAATCTCTTCATGCAACGGGCCTCTAGTATTATAAGTAATTATAGAGGAAATGAATATATATTTTTAAAATTTTTATGAGTTTTTAAAATGAAGAGATAATTCATATAAATCTTCATATATGAAGCCAATAATAGTAATGAAACCATTCATTTCTGTTGCTAAAGCAGATATACCTATAGGCCAGGTGTTTAAAATTCAGTCTCTGCTTCTTGATTCTAATGAGTATTTCTTCTGTTCCCACAAGTGGTCTGCAATTCATCAAGTGCCTTGCATTCCCTTTATCAGTAATTGTTTCTTGCTCTCTTAGGCTGCACAACTGTAAAGGATATAAGAAAACCTGAAACATTCTAAGGCCAAAACAGCGGTGTCACTACGTTAAGAACTCTAGGTCACTGTCAACAATCACTGTGGGTACTGAAAACTGTGTCTGATTCATCCACTTAGACTGAACATCTAGTACATAAAATCGGTAGCTATTTAAGCATCTGAAAATGGTGAGCACATGCTTTTTGCTGTGCTCTGCACTTGGTGAGTTTATATGAGGTTGAAAGTTTTATGTGGCGACTCATACTCGGGCTTTCTTAAAAATATGCTTGTTCAACATGTACATTTTTGACAAGAGCACTGTACATTCAAAAGTCCAGTAAGAGGATGGATACTGTGTGGAATCATCTCTATGTGTTATTTTGGTTGCATCCATGTGGCCCCTTCACTCTCTGTGATAGAGGCAGGCTGTTTCACAATTAAAAGGCATATTCTATCATGGCTTTGCCTAATGTGAGCATCACGACCATGAAAATCCATGGTCATAAGTCACTTTAAAAGATGTGCATATACAAGGGCATTTTCTGAT